CATAGGAAAAGAATTTAATTTCAAAATAAACAAAATCTAAAAGAATTAAAACATAAAAAAAAATATTTAACAGAAACATTATCTCTAAATCTAATATAAAAACATTTAAACAAAACATAGCAAAATTTATAATATTAAATTCTTTTTTTATATGTTACAGCTTTGTTAGATTTATTTAATTATTATGTTTTAGTTATTTTAAACTTTGTTAACTTTAAGATTAATTAATTTCTTCTTCTATGTTATAATTCTTTTTGTTTTATAATAATTAACTTACTATATTAAATTCTTTTCTTATGTTTTTGTATTTATTCATTATTTATATATTCTAAAATTAAATTGTTTTATATGTTGCAATATATAAGAGAAAAATTTAATTATTGGAATATATAAATAATGAATAAAATATAAAAAGAAAATATAATATAAAAATTAATTGCAATAAAATAAAAAGGATTGAAACATAATAAAAGATTTGAATTAATCTCAAAGTTAAAAAAATTTAAAAGAACTAAAGTAAAAATAAAAAAAAAATTTAACAGAAGTATTATTTAAATCAAAAAAAGAAATAAATAAATAGTTTAAACAAATATAATAAATAAGTTTATAAATAGTTTAAACAAGACAACTAAATTTAGCAAATTTACATTATTAAATTTTATATATTATATAATTTTATATATGTTTTCTAATTCAATTAATACTTGTGTTAAATTGTTTTGTTTAATGCTTTAGATTTTTAGATTTAGATCTTTTTTAACTTTGAGATTAAATTATTTCTATTCTATGTTTCAATTTCTTTTTATTTTATAGTAGTTAAATAATTTTATGTTATTTTCTTTTTATATTTTATTCATTATTTATGTATTACAATGTTTTTATTATTTTATAAATATTTTTTCAATTGATATATGTGTTGAATTCTATTTATATTTTTAAAATTTTTTATATTTATTTAATCCTTATGTTAATCTTGTTTTATATTTCAATTCTCTTTGTTTGTTTATTATATTGAATTATTTGTATTATATATTGTTTGTATATTATATTGAATTTTGTTCAATTCAATATAATATATTTTATTAGTCTTTTCTAATAACCTCGTTGAATTTTATGTTAATAATTTTATGTTAAATAATTTTTTTATGTTTTTTCTGATTCAATTAATTGTTATGTTAAATATTTTTTTGTA